TCCATGAAATACAGGCGACAACCTGTGAACATTTGTCAAGAATCATCATGTTTATATAATCTTATATAATCTTTTTTTTTTCTTCACACTGCTTTTCCTTCTTATTATGCCTTTCACTTATTGTTCTGGATTTTTCCTTTCTCACGAGCTGCAGCACTGCTTTGTGCTTTTAGTTTCAAACCTTAGAATGAGATGCCACTGGAGGCGTAAACCCATTGGCCAAGGAGGGTAATATGTACAGATGATATTGCAGAGTAGAGAGAGATTTTTAATTGAATTTCAACCTAGCAGAACTAGGTCATTATTCTCTAAAATTGCTGAAATTAAGTACTAATTAAAGTATTCAAGTTTAATTGGTCAGTTGCTCATTTAACAACAAAGGACACTGTGCCTTTACTGACAAAGCCAGCATGGTTAATAGTATAAACACTATGTGCCACTGGTTTTTATCCTTATAGCCAAAGCTGTACAACAGGTAAAGCTTTTCGTGTGCAAACCATGTTGCTCAGTGCTTGTCCTCTTAGGTCTTGTAGGCCTCCAAGGGCGGTGGTTCCACAGCCTCTCTCTCAGCCACCTGTACAGCTCACATTCTCTCGATATGTGCATGCAATACATTGGGAATAGTTTGTTTTGTTATTTTTCCAATATTTAGTACCCAGGGAAGCAATCAAATTTAGTTCAGTGTAGAAGTCACATGACAGGTTTCCTTTTACATGCTTCAAAGATTAAACAGATTTCTCTTTTTTTTCCCTACTTTTTCTTTAAACTGGATGCAAGAAAAAAAAAAAAAGGAAAAAGAGGACTTTAAAAATACTTCAAAATGTGATGCTTTTGAGTACGCTTTTTTTTTGCTCTAGATAAGGCTGGTAATGTTGCAAAACAAATTGTATGTAGAATCAGCCACAGTAACAGCTCTTAGCATTTCTTAAAAGCATTTCTCAGAGTAAATCAAATTATTAAATGAGTATTTAAATTATTCTTTACTCTGTGGCAGAGCTAATCTTGGAAGCTAACAGTTTTCTGTCTCAAGTGGTATTAACAATCATATAGCAAATAGGATTAGGAGCTTAAAATGGTTGCTTTTATTTGTCTTTTAGACTGTTGATACAGAATATGGATAATACAAATAGAAAGTAAAGTTTAGAGATTGTTAAAACAGAATTTAAGATGCTGCATTTGCTTCAGAATCTTTTTCTATTGTTGAAGTCCTGATTTTCTGTAACATAGTTTTCCTTATCTTCTGTTTTGACAGTTCCCCCTTACACAAGAGACACAACTTTGACCTCGTGAAAGAAATGTGGATTTGTGGTCTTTCATTTCTCATGGTCTTGGTTACTTGTTCTTGGCAGTGAAGGACTGGCATGTTTCAGTGTGTATATGACTGAAATGTTTTCTGACAGGGAAAGGAAGGCAGAAGGTACAATTTAAACAAAGCTCTAACTCCTAACTCACCAAGAAATGCATAAATGTCGGCACATCCAAAAGATAATGAGAAAGAGTTCAGCCTCATTTGATCTCATGCGTAATGCTAGAGTATGTGTTTCATGGCAACTGTTTCTTCTCTTGCATTCTACACCAGTGTGTGTATTTTGAGTTAATCTTCCAGACATTTTCCTGAAATCTGTCACACGGATCTGCCAGCTGTGCCTTCCAAATGCAAAACTTCTCTATTTTTGGTTTTTGTGATTTATTTTTAGAAATGCAACAGTTCTGCCTCCTTTGGTAAAGATTCTTAGAAGCTGTTGGAATTGCCCATTTTCTTCTGAGACTTCTGTGTGACGTGATACAGGCCATGTTAGTGAGGGTCTTAAGAAGAACGCTGTTTGACACGTGCTTAGTCTGAGATGAAGTCAGTTATCTTCTTCCCTTGAAGTGCGCTTATCATCCTTACCCAAACAGGCTTTGGGTTTAGATTCGCTCAGGATTTGCAGCTCTGTGGGTAAACGATATTTATGCAGACTTGACAGCAGGAGGAGGGGATGGAAAGAGGAAGTGATCGCTGCTGGAGGGTCTGCAAGAGATCAGGTTGTCTGAAAACAGAGATAAAGATGTGTGTCTCTGGCAGCTGCAGCCTGGACACTTGCAAAGTGTCTGCTGTCATCTGTGTTAGGACCACAAGGATAGTCAGAGGGATGGAGCACCTCTCCTACAAAGGCAGGTGGAGGGAGCTGGGCTTGTTCAGCCTGGAGAGTTGAGGGCTTTGGAGGGGCCTCATTGCGGCCTTCCTGTACTTGAAGGGAGCGTATAAACAGGAGGGAGGCCAACTTTTTACATTAGCAGATAGTGATAAAACAAGGGGATAGCTTTAGTCTAAAACAGGGAAGATTCTGATTACGCATCAGGGAAAATTTTCACTGAGAAGGTGGTGAGATGCTGGCACAGCTGCCCAGAGAAGCTGTGGTGCCCCATCCCTGGAGGCGCTCAAGGCCAGGTTGGATGGGCCCTGGGCAGCCTGAGCTGGAGGGGGGCAGCCCTGCCCACAGCAGGGGTTGGAAATAAATGACCTTTGAAGTCCCACCACTCCAAGCCATTCTGTAGTTCTGTGATTTCTAAAATCTGAGGCAGGACCATCACCTCGGGACCCTTATTACAGGGGAAAACAGGAAGCAACAGCAGGTGTGTGGACTACTTACAAGCTAGTATATAGAGAAGCAATAAATTAAGTATTACTGTGCATTTCTTAGTAAGTTCATTCATTGCCCTAATCGAATAGTACCTGAAGATGTTAGTTCAGATGTAGCCTAAAGGAACATGGGGGAATTTCCTTCAGTTTATGTACACTGAGGTGAGAGGAACATATGCATGAATACACACACAGAGGAAAAATGACAGTTTTAATGCCCAAAAGTTGGGTTGGTTTGAGAATGCAGGATTGATATGCAAAAAATTCAGGAAACAGAGGGAACATGATGTATCTGTAGGTTTTAGTTGAAACCATCAGTATCTCAGTAAAGTCATTTGTCAGTCTGGTGGAAGTGGCCAAGTGGCACATGTGACTTGTCTCTATGCTTTGCCTGATAAATACAGCACAACTGCACTCTTCAGTGAACTGTGATAAACCATTACCAACTTGAATTTGTTCCCTGCTGACTGAACGCTACAGAACTACTGTGTGGATCTGCCTTTAAAGTCATTTGCCATCCAACCCATGGGATAGTAAATCATAGAATGGCTTAGGCTGGAGGGGACCTTAAGATCGTCTAGTGTCAGTTCCCCCATAAATCTTAGTAAATCTGTTCTAACGTGCCAGATGTTAAGTAGTTGGAGATGTGTGATGTAAGTATTGCATGGGAATGGATTCATTTGCAGTTATTGCCAAGATGATGGAAGGCAATTAGAAATTTTTAGGCCTATTCTTTAAAGGAGAATTGAACACGGGATGACATTTGTAGAGGCAGTTCTCTCATTCATGTCTTTGAAGAGCATGTGCAGATATCAGCATTAAGGTCCTAAGAGTATTGCCATGTTCTCATACTGTTAATTTTTCTGTGTTTAGAAATAAATCCACCAAGAGGAAATAAGGAGCTGGAGAAGAGTAGAAGCAGAGAAGAGTTTTAACTTGATCAGGCCACAAGCCACCACTGTGCCTATCATTAATGCAAGATTACTTCGTTGTTTAGTTAAGAATTAATCGAGGTTTCTGTTCAGTATTGGAATAGGGGACTTATTGAGTGAAGACCTGCGTATTCTCTTAGCTGTAGTGTGGCAGAAATGTGGTGCCTGCAGGCAAAAGGACTCTTCATGGCAGCACGCACCTCTATCTCTGTATAATGGTGCAGGGTTTGAAAGAAAAGGTTGTTACTTAATGGCTTTATGTGAGGAAGAAAGTACAAGCACTGAGGAAATCTCCTTCCTGGTACAATCCACCCAGAGATTTTTAATGCATGTGAAGGAGTTGCTTTTGTGATGAAAAGGGAGAAATGTGCTGCGGAGTGAAAAAAAAACGTGACTGGCAAAAGCCTCCTCCATTCACTCCCCCTCCTCAGCAAATTGCCTGAAAATGGATCATAAACAGCACTGCATCATTACTATTATCTCCTGGTATGACTCACTGAGCTGTATATAGCAGCTCTTCTTTTGAGGAGAATTCTTACTCAGAGCAAGTAGGCTGTGCAAGCAGATACAAAATGTCAGACTGTTATGTCACTGCTGCGTTAGAATGTCTCCCATTGCAGATAACAATGTCTAAAAATGGCTTCATAGGGAGTAGTTCCTATCTCTATTAAACAGGTATTGTCAGGTTAATAATTCTCATTAGTTTTTTCCTGATTTGGTACTCTTATTTTCATGATTTTTGTCTCTCTTTGAGCAACAAGAATGCATTTCTTAATTGCACTAGCAAATTACTTCAGAATTTGACTTGCTGGTAATGCAAGGTAGCAGATGGGTTTGGTGCATGCCTTCTTTTTAGTTTGTCTTTTTGAAAGCTTGTTTCCTTTGATTGCCTAATTATTCCCCAAATTAATTATCTGGGATTTCTTTCTATTCTTTTAGCACTAACCTGTAAAGAGCCTGTTTGTAAAACCCAAGTGTGTCTCATGTTGATCCGCTGATTCTTCCGTCCTCCTTTTAGAAAGATTGGCTTTCTGAAATACAAACAGCATTCTCCTTCCATATTCTGCATTCCCTTAGTACCTTGAAATTCAGACTGCTTTTCTTAGCAAGGAAGACTAGCCAAGGCTTTCCTCAGAGCTACCACGACTGGTGCTGATTGGGAAAACTTCTCTGTCCTTATCCCCAGATGAACTCTTGCCTGAGGATTCAGAGCTCTGTTTTGCTGATATTGGTGCCAATGTCAGTCTTTTTCCATATCCTCTTGTGTACCAAATTATTGCATTGTTTATGTTGCGTGTATGTTGACTCAGCTTTGACTTTGAGACAGCACTAAAAGATTTTAAAGTATGCCCTAGGAAATAAGATTGCTGCCCTGAATTTTGTGGTATTTGGTAACATTGACAAAGCTGTATCAGTAAAAGAAATACTCCTTTGTTTTCTTACAGGTTTTGGGATTTGAAGTTGACACAGTGAATTCTGTCCAGTTTTCAAACCACACAGGTAAAAAATATATGTGCATCGTAAGACGCTGCTCCTCAGGGATTTGAGCTATACTCAATATGTGTCTCAGCTCAGCAAGTAACTGTGGAAAGGAGTTTTGTTTTATGGTTTCACTCCTGTTTTCAGGGATATTGGACATAATTATAATTTTTGAGTCTATCAAAAATCCATGGATTTGGGATTAGTACACAATATGACATAGGGATGTTCTGTCCTGCTACTTCAGAATGTGAGTTACTTTTATAAGGCATTAATCTATTGAGATTGAAATAACTAGAGTATGGCTATCCACACAAGCAGTCCTGTGAATGAGGGAGTCTTCACTGCTGTTTTCTGTATGGTATGGCCCTATGACAATCATCATCACATTACCAACCTTAAATGTGTGAGGTAGACATGTTTCTTCTGTGTGTATACCCACCTAGAAGGCAAACAGTTATCCTAAAATTACATTTTGGAGGAGAATAAGAGGGAATGTGAGTGTAATACGTTTAGGTATATTTTTATTTGAGTTCAAAACCTCAACAAAGTATCATATATTCAGATCATACTTTCAGACTTTCTAACAAGCTCAGTGCTAGAGGACACTATTTTTGAAAGCAAAGATGAAATTTGTTTGTTTAGTAATCCCTTTCACCTTTAAAAAAACACTCCAAGTTGTTGTTTCTGACTCAATGGAGTTACATCTGCTGTAATGGCTGTGGCAAGTTGTTTGAAAGATGTACTCTAGGAAGTATCGAGGAATAAATCTTGACTTCAGTGTCTTAGAAAAGAGCAAAAATGGTTTCTGACAGGAAAAAAAAAGGGCAAATACTTATATAGTTTACTAGTATCTCAGAGGTACATCTTTATTAATCACCTGCTTAATTTTTTCAACAGAGAGCAAACCAGCAGGCCTCTGTCCTCTCAGCATGTTCAGCTCCAGGCGGCTTTTAGAAGTTTATAGGATGTTTCTATCGTTTAAAGTCTCAGTGGCAGTAGAGAGAAAACACAAAAGTAGTAATAATTAAACAAGGACAGTGGGATCTCTCTTGGCTCAGGCAAAAAGCTATTTATTCTGCCTGTAACCTTTGGTACAGTACAAAGGTGTGCTTATGTTTTAACAGAGGTTTTGATGTGACTTTAATGTATTTAGTTTGGAAATTAGTGATGTTTGTTTGTTTGTTTCATTTTTAATACCTGGATAAAACTGTTACAATCTTCCAGAAATTAAGTAATTTTTTACATCTGAAATAATAACGAGATGCTCAGAATGGATTGGTGTTTGTCTTGTCATTTCTGGGTTTTCAATGTTAAGAATAAATCAATTTTATATGGTGTTAAAAGAGTTTTAAAGAGCTTTTATTAGACCATAAACTCAATGTGTCTGGAGGGAGACAAGTTATATTACCAATAGAATGATCAGGTTCTTGAAACAGAATGTTTCTGAGATCACAGTTCTTTAAAATATTTAGAACTCATCGCAGAATCAGGGGTTGGAAGGGACCTCAGGAGATGATAGAGTCCAACCCTCTGCTAAAGCAGATACCCTACAATATACAGATAGGCATCTAGACAGATCTTGTATATCTCTATAGAAGGAGACCCCACAGCCTCTCTGGGCAGTCTTCTGGTATTCAGGAATCACATTCTCCATTTTTTTTTTTTTTTCCCTTATTCTTGATTGTCTTGGTAAATGTGTTTAAAAACCCTCAAAGACTGGTGTGCAATCTCCTGTGTTCAGCAAACTGCTGTCAGAAAGAAAATCAGAGTATGGTAGCACTAGTGAAGAGTAAATAAAATAAGTCTGTATCTTGAAGTGTTGGTCATTTGGCTGAAAAAGGAAGGAGTGGAGAAGATAGGAATGGGTCTAGTTTTCTGACAGTAGTTCTTCTACTGGAACCTTTCTGACCTTTCTGAAATTGAAGGATAGATTCTAAGCCTAGTTTTGCAAAGCCAGGAGGCATAGAACTTCCCCTTCAAGAGAGAACATAGAGCTGTGTTCTCACGTAGTGGCTTTTGCAGTTCATTTGTGCGTGACAGCACACAAGTTAATGTACGTGAGGTCCGTGCTACTGCTGGGATTAGTGAACATGAAGTACAGTATTGGGCTATGGCTTGTGTCTGGAGCAGTGCCACAATACACAGGGATCATGTGCTGGGTGAACTGGGAAGAAAACTGTTGATTTTCTTATGAGAACAGCATATTATTAGAAACCTTGCTGCAGTCAAGATTAAACTTCTGCTTCAAAGACCAGCTGTGAACATAGTTTCTAAAAGAATGAGACGTGGGTACAGGTAGAAAAGTATGTGATGTGGCAGTTTAAAACAGTGAATTTTCTTTCACATCTCCATCTTTAAACTTAATTTTGTCAGTAAAAGATAAAACCCAGGGAGAATTCATGACTAACAGACCTTCTTTAGCAAACCATTATTCCTAAATGATTAGGATAACACAGATCTTCTGTTTCTGCTGACTCCTGCTCAGAGAATTCAGCTTTCTTTAGTCTCTGATAATCCTGAGATTTGGAAAACATGTTTTAAATCAGCCCCCCTGGAGAACAGTGTCATGTTACTCCGTGAGGCAATGTTATGCTATGATTAGAGTGACTCACCCTCGAATGCCATCGTGCTTTGTGTGGAAATAAAAGAATCTGTCATGCAGCCTACAATGATTTGGGGCTTTTAGTTCCTTATTACTTTACTGTGTGCAAAAGCATCTACATGTCTAAGATGCAAAACTAAAAATCTAGTCTTGTCTTATTTTGACTATCAATATGTTTTGGGGCGCGCTTTTAATTTTTCCATGATTTGTGGTTTTGTTTTTAATTGGCAAGTTAATGATAAGCACACATTGTGCTTGCTCTGCCATCCAAATTCTACCTTTGAAGCTGTTCCAGAAAAAATAGTCTGACTTTGGTGTTGTGTGTTTTTCTTTTTTTTCCTTTCTAAAGCAAAGCACTTTTGACTTCTACTTAGGGGGGTGTGTAGGCAGCTGGGTTGACTGGTAGTTCTGATATATGAGAAATTACAATTATTTCTTGTCGATGTGATTCTTCACAGTCTGCCACCTATATACAGTCATTCACAATTACAGAGTGTGGGACAAAAAGAAATAATCCCCACTTGTGCCTAACAGTGGCAATATTTTACTCCCACACTGAGCAGCTGTAAATAATGCTCCAGTTCTGTCCAGAACTTAGAAGTGCATTTCTGATTGAAGCCTTCCTTATAGCTGAAGATTAAGTAATGCTTTTAGATCAGATTGCCTGCAGTGTTTGCGTGTGAATTTTTCTGCACAGCTGAGACCAGACTGCTTGTCCACTGCATGCCTTAAATGCCTGATCTATCTTCCTTTTCCTCATGTGAAATACTTGCTTATTGACAAGTATCACAGAATCATGGAATCGTGGGGGTTGGAAGGGACCTCAAGATATCATCAAGTCCAACCTGCTGCAGGTTCCCTGCAATTGGTCACACAGGTAGATGTCCAGCTGAGTCCTAATTATCTCCATAGAGGGAGACTCCACAACCTTCCTGGGCAGGTTGTTCCAGTGCTCCATCATTGTTACTGTAAAGAAGTTCTTCTGCGTGTTAGTATAGAACTCCCTAAGTTTTAGGCCATCACTCCTTGTCCTATTGCTGCGTTCCACCAAGAAGAGCCTCCATTTGCCTCCCACCTCCCATTGGATATTTATAAACATTTATCAGATCTCCTCTCAGTCGTCTTTTCCCCAGGCTGAACAGACCCAGTCACTCAGCTTTTCATCACACAGGAGATGCTCCAGGCCCTTTTTCATCTTTGCAGTCTTCCACTGGACTCCTCCTGGAAGACCTCTGTCTTTTTTGAACCGGGGAGCCCACAACTGGACAGTCAAAACATTATTCCAGGGAGTAAACAGAGGAAGCTCAAACCTCAGAACAGAATGTTTCTCACTGGAAACAAAGAAATCTTACATTCCTTGCTATGCTTAAATGGTGACTTTGTTTTTGTTTTGTTTTTCTTCTGATATGCCTGGGATTTTTAGTTTTTTTCTCTTCATTCTTGGAAGCAATTGACAAGCTTACAAATGCGTTCCAAGGGAAAGAAAAATGTACCAGTGGAGGAAGGTTAAAAAGAAAAATACATAAATTCCTCTTGGGCGTTTTAGTGTACTACTAGCAGGTGAACAAAGAATTTCCCAGGAGAATAGTGAGGTTCATCTTTTTAGAGGGATGAGAGTCAAGAAGCATCATATCTCACATGGTTTTTATTCCCTTGCCTACTTAGAATATATATGTAACATTTAACTGCAATAAAAGGCTGTAATATAGATAAGTAGAAGGGTTTACAGATGTTTTATAGTTTATGTTCAACTATGTGTTTAAATCTTTTTATTAATACAGGAGAATAATGCAGTCAGCTTGAGCTAAATGGAGCTTTGGGAAGCAGTATCGTGACTGGCAGCATTCCTCTGCTCACTTAATCTGGCACTGAGTGGAATTATTCACTGATTTTGTAACTGAAAGAAGAAAGATCCATCTTTCTTCCCTTTCGGAAGGCACAAGCCAAAATCTGAAACTAATGTCCAAGATGTAGGATACATTTATTAATCTTTCTGCTGTGCCTAGCCACCATTGGAATTTCCAAATGGGATCAAGTTTTTTTTTTGCCAAGTACAAACTTGGAACTCATTATTAAGTTTTCTTGGCTGTGATTTTTGTACAGCGTGTGCAGATAGCCAGATACTGTGAGACTGAGCTTTTGTATTGCTAAGTGCCACTCTGATATGATTGCAGAGGGAGAGTCTTTAATAAGTGGCAGTAAGAAGACTTAAATTTTTCTCTTCCTGTTTCCCAGTATCCATATGTAGTGGAATAGGTATGGAAATAACGTTTCTAGGATGCTGATTTTCCTTTAGGTCTTGCTGCAGTGCATCTCTGTACCTTCAGCTGCATTTATTGCTTGACAAGTATTCATATCCAGCCAAGAAATACAGTGGTTCCTCTTTATTGTCCTTAATTCTGGTGGTTATTCACAAAGCCATGTTTAGGCTTGCTGTTGTCATTCCTTGCTGTTTGCAGCTGCACAGTGTATTTTTGACCTCCCAGTATCTGTCCCGATTCTTATTAGAGCTTACCCATGCTTTTCCAGTTTCACATCAGTTCCCTTCATCTTCCTGGGACCCCAAGGTCCTTTCTAAGAAACAGTAACTGCCTTTTTTCTTCTGTCTCTCTACAGATGCAGCTATTTGGCTGGAAAGTAAGATAAAGGCAGGGTCATGGGTTTATGCACGTAATTTGTCATGTTATATGAAGATACCCTGGAGAAAGGGCTCAGGGTGGTTTCCATGTCACCATCAGCATTGATTTTATTTCTTCTCACTCAAACATAGTTCAGCTCCCAGTGGAATCCCAGTTCCATGCAGATCCAGTGAAGGCATTGCCTGTTTTCTTTTAAGGAGCTGTGGCTTCCCTCAGTTTGTCCCTAGAGGAGGGCATTCTCTTCACATGCCTGGTGAATTACAATGTTAGGAGGAATGAGCTGAGCTTCTCTAGTGAATTCTGGACATGGTGGAATATAAATGCATTGTGTCCCTATCTGAACTGGCTTTGGAGTGCCAATAGAAATACAGATTGGGGGGAAAAAGGAGAGGTTAGGTTACTTTTCTCTCTAAAACTTTGGTGTGGCAGAACAAGCAGTTGTATAAATGGTGAGTAAGCCAAGTGCCTGAGACAGCTGTAGCCAAGGGTTCCTCTTATACTTGGAGCTAGAGGCATGCCTAGGTGTGAGATGTTACCACAGTATTTCTGTTTGCTGGAGTGAAACTACTGTCCTGACGTGGGAATCTCCTGCTTAGTCCGTTTCTTTGCAAAGACTTTTAAAACCCATTTACTAAGGAGAAAATCCTAGCGCTGCTGCAGTCAGTCCCTTTGCCAGCTGGCATAGAGTCATGGTTTAGGGACCAGGCATTCATGAGATGAGGAGAGCAAAATGATCCATCTGCTCACCCTGCTGTGGGTGTTTTTGCATTTATAAGAAGGGAAACTGGAAAATGTGTTTATCCTAGTCTCTGGGCACCTTTAGCAATTACTTTAATAACACAGTTTAGAGCGATAGTCAAAGCCAAGAGTTTTTATCACAGAACTTTCCAAATCCAAGAGCAGGAATTAAGACAAAATACCATTGTCTCTTCACAGGGGTGGTGTGGAAGAAGATACTGGTATAACATCTCACTTTTCATAATCTCACTTGTTAAAAAACTTTTCTTTTTTATTGAACCCTGAGCTTAACAAAGATTGGAAGTGTTCTCTTTTTCACTTCTCAGCCAAAAACACCTGCTTATAATTCCTAGAGATCATTCAAGGATATGGATATTGTTCGTCTGGTTTTTGGTGTCTTTCTGATACTCTTTTGCCTCTTCCAGCACCCTCAGCATTAGAATTGCCCTCTTCTCAGAATGCACTCCGTGAGATAAAATTGCATGTTTAAAGAACATTCTGTGACATTATTCTGCTGTGGTCACTTCATGCAGTGTATGCAGGTGCCAACGAAAGCTGCATCTGACTACAAGTGGGAAAGTTCTGCATACCTGCAGAGAGGTTTTCAGATAGACCTACAAGCCTATTTTCTTCTAGACGAAATCTAGGTTCTGTATAGTGCGGAGTTCATGGCTAGTAATTAAAGGTCATCCTGCTGTCTTTGGTGGTTGTTTTTTTTACTAATACAAAATAACAAAAATAGATTCCCCTAATAGCCTCCCTGTAATGAGGTCTAAAACATGTCTGTCCCCCTCACAACAGGAAAGGAATAGTTTGTATAGGCTCCATGAGGAAACATAGGTGAGCCTGTGTGTACTCTACTCATTTCATTGATGAATGGGCAATCTAAATTTCCATAGCAGTGCCACCAGTTCCTGTGGGAAGCAGTGGTGAATGGAGCAGTTCTGCTGACTGCAGCCTTCAATCAACATTAGCACATTAAAGAAAGAAATGCCTTTTGCTGATGATGCCTGATACTGTCCCTCCAAGTGTTTGAACTCTGTGATCCTAATTAGGATGTCTTGCTTTTGTAAAATTACCTGGCTTTTCTTTTGCAGGTTATGCCCACTGGAAGGGTCAGGTATTAAATTCTGATGAACTTCACGAACTGTATGAAGGACTTAAGCTGAACAAGGTCAACCAATATGATTATGTACTCACAGGTAAAAATAACTTGGCTTTTTTTTTTTTTTTGGAGTTCACATGAAATGTAAATGAGCATAGAGATACCAATATGATGGGAAAAGGCATTTCACCAGAGGTTTAATGACAGAAGAATCAGCACAATAGAAAGGTACTATAAGGGAAGAAGATTGTTTACCCATATTGGAAGATTCTTGGAAGATTCCAGGTTTGTAAGGGAAAGCTCCACCAAAGAGAGATCTCCAGAGAGAGATCATTCTCCAGTGGCAGTCAGCCCTTAAATGGGGTCTAAGAGAGGTGCAGCTGGGTTCCACCCCTTCTGGTCACAAAGCTGAATTGCCTTCACCTGTGCTTCTAGAGCTGACCCATTCTTTCCCCAGGTGATCAATCAGTGGTTCAGGACGTGACTCAACAGTTTCCATACATAATACATATTCCTCTTTATTCCAAACCATGAAATTACATGTTTCTCCTTAGACTCCTATAATTTGTATATTGTAGTCAAACTGCTTATGCTATTTAGTTTGAAACAGTCTTTTCCCATCTGAAGGCTGTCGTTGAATGGGTTAATTGATCCTCTTGTATAGCTTACAGACTTGTACAGGCCAGTTGTTTACAGACTTAGTTACTCACTGAATACTAACTCCAAAAAAAAAAAAGGAATGTCAGAATATTATTTTTGAATTCATCCTGAAGACTCTTTCTACTAAATTCTCATTAGTAGCTCTCTGGTGTACAGTCACATAACTTTTATATGTAGTTATCTGTCCATGTTTTATCTACCTGATTTTCAAAAGATTTTGTTTTCGATACAGATTTTGTATTCTAGTCTGTTGTATTTCTTGATAGTTCTTGTAGGTCTTTTCATTTTCTCCAAGTAGATGCAGTTCTGTGGGACATAATTTTATGCACCACCATGTGGAAAGTGCTCATAAATACTGCAAAGGGAACTTTGTGCATAATGCTTTATAAAAAGAGAGATTATAAGAGCATTTTTAATTACAAACTGCTTCTCATCCAATTCCTGTTTCTTTAGAGTAGAGTACTGATGGGGTTTCACCTCAGTGGGAGGTATGCATCTGGTTTAGATTACAGTATCATTTTTTATTGCAGTGAGCAGCCACTTTTTAAAGGTAAATGGAATTAAATTGCCTGATTTAATTAACTTCACAGCTTCCTCGTGTAGGAAGGTGCTTTCTTTGTACACAAGGAAAACTGGAGACTTTAACTGAATGAATTTAACCCTAGAGCAGACATACTGGATTGAAGGATATGGTACATCTGAAAAGCTACTTTTCCTTCCATTTCAGGAAATCTTTCCAAATTAAAGGATACTAAATAGAAAATAGACTGAGTTAAAATTAAGAAATCAATTTCAGCATAAATGGGTTCATTAAGATTGAAAAATAAAAGAACATCCTTTCTATTATAGAATAGCTCAGGTTAAAAGACCGTAAGGATCATCAAGTCCAACCACAACCTAACCATGCCACCCTAACAAATCTTTGCTAAATCATGTCCCTGAGCACCACATCCAAATGGTTTTTAAACACATCCAGGGATGGTGACTCAACCACCTCCCTGGGGAGCCTATTCCAGTGCTTAACCACCCTTTCTGTAAAGAAGTGTTTCCTGATATCCAACCTAAACTTACCCTGGAGCAACTTGAGGCCATTTCCCCTTGTCCTTTCACCAGTGAGATGAGACCAACCCCGCTCTCTCTGTAAGCACCTTCCAGGTATTTGAAGAGAGCAGTAAGGTCTCCCCTCAGCCTCCTTTTCCCCAGACTGAACAGCCCCAGTTCCTTCAGTCTCTCCTCATAGGGCATATTCTCCAAGCCCTTCACAAGCCTTGTTGCCCTTCTTTGGACCTGCTCCAGCACCTCTTTCCTTGAAAGAAGACACACAGAGGACATTTCCCAGAAGAGCCAATTGTACTGCAGGAGTTTTCAGGAAATGTTAGTAGGCAACAAGCAGTGTTTGAGGTGTTTGGATTTTTGGTGAGGTGTTCCTTTTTTATTTTACTTTTCACTCTTGAAAGTTGCCCCAAGTCCTTTTTCTTTTAGTGTCTTCTACTGGCAAAAATGTAGCAGATCAGGAATCTTCACCTATAGAAGACATTTTGAAGAAAAACAATTAAAATGCCTTTTAAAATATGATTTGTGGGTATAGGTGTATAGATAGATAGGTTTGTGGTTTGTTTAAAACTCCTGTTCAGTGTATTTCAGTATAGAAAATGAGGAGAAGTGGGTGAAAATGGCTCTCACTTCCTATGATCTCATCTATTTTAGTGTTGAGTTCATTTGTAGCTGAACTTAAAAATCTGGCTTTCTTCATCCAGGGTCAAAAGATTTTTCTCTTCAGACAGAGACAGTGATTCACTGTGTTGCACAGCCATAGCTTGCTACCTCAGATGACATGGAAATGATTTATCAAACACTTTAATTTATCAGCAGGTAGTATTTGACTGTAACTGCATTTCTGATTACTGTAGATATCATGGCTGAAATGGAAACGATTCTCTTTAGTCTGATTCTATAAAATGACACTTCATTAACTTTTGTGATTGTCACTTGTGGATCTTCATCTCTGTTTCATTTGCAGTAAAGCATTAAAGTTGCCAGATAAACACAGATTCGCTGTAGTGCTTTTGAAATGCCTCTATCACCAATGTTTACTTTCTTTTTTATTAAGTCAGTCTAACATGACAGCCCATTTTAAAACAAAATCTTTCTTTTTTTTTTTTTTTCTGACTATCATTAATATGGACAGAGCATTTTGCCTCAAAATCTTGGAAGTTTCTTCCATTTCTTCTCAGTGTGTAAAAATTGGCACAATTTTACAACTTAAAAAAAAAAAAACTCTCTAAAAATACGTTTTACTGGAATGAGCATTTCCAAGCTAAAGATACTGCCTTGCTAGAATAATGCTATTACATGAACTAAAGTAAATGAAAATGAATTTACTAATTAATACATGTTATAAATAAAATGAATATATAAAATAAACACAATAGTAAATATATAAATGAAGAAACAGGTATTATAAATTAACTATACGAATGTTGTAGTGCTACCATTGTGATTAGCGCCTTGAGATGTAATAAAATCATTTTAGAACTTATTTCACTGCTAAGCCTAAAATTAGGAATTTTACTGGTATATTGGCCATTGCTCTGAAATGGTCGAGATTAATTCTCCATTGCATTAACATGTTGGAAGAAAAAAAACCAACACACTGTTTCTAACCAGAATATGAGAAAAGTATATGGAACTTAGAATATTTTGTTTGGGTACCACGTATGAAATAGTGCTGGCTCAGACTGGTGTTTTAAAGAGGTGGACGTTTTTTTTTTTTCTTTTGTCCAAACCTCTTTGTATATATGTCCAAGCATTTTGAAGTTGTATGAGCACTAAATGTATAATGCATATAGCAAATGAATTTCTAAATTTTATTTCTAGGCAAGTAGAGACTGCCTTGACTTGTCTTTCACTTGTTATTTCTGAATAAAATACTAAAAAATGCCATTTTTTCTTATGCA